TGTAATCCATTTATTTCAACAAAGTAACTGTAATCCAATTACCACTCATGAAAACAGTAACTGTAACTGAATACAGTTACAATTTGTACTCTGATTACGTAACACCGGTACATGTAATCCGTTACTCCCCAACACTGCATATACACATGTAAATATGCAGAGTCTAAAAAACAAAAGCACTTTCCTGACTGGTACATTGGTACATTGGTACATTTGTGGTGTAAATGCAGAGACTGGTCTGAGCACAACAAGGAGCTGCATTAGTCATTTGTGGTTTGGTCTGACAAAAGTAAAGAGCTCACAGGAAGAGCTTCACAAACATCACTAGAGGAACAGGTGTGATGGAAGCCACCACTCTGCTCTGTGAGTATAACTACTCAGGTTTTTCTTTTGTCTTCAATTTAAAATTGAATAACTTCTGTAAAATTGTCTCTTTTTTTGTAGTTTGGGCTTTACTGGTCTTTACTTGTCCGTTCTACCCCACACTCCAAGGTCAGTCTCTCAGCTCTATTTTCACCTATTAGCCCTGATATAATATTTCTCAGCAAAAATACATTTGGGGATGTCTTTTGTTTCATTCAGGCATATTTTTATTCACCTATATGTAGAAAAAAATATAATGAAATTAAAGTTCTGAAACAGTCAAGGGTGGTCAAGGATAGTGATTTTCAGTGGAGTCCAGTGCCACTGCACTGGGCAGGGATCAATAATGATTTATATGCTTTACTTTTATTGTGGAGCTGTAACAAATCTGAGAGAAAAGAGCACTGATGGACTTTGTGTGCAGGTCTTCTCTGAAATGTGCCTCTGCCACCTCAGCTATTACACAGCGTTCATGCATGCATGTCGGCTATTCACATTTCTGCTTCTGTTTGTGACTCAGTATTTTGAGCATATACAAAAATCATTCATCTGTTGTGAACTCTTTTTTCAAACCCAATGGAAACTAGGCATTTTGCCCTAATCTGGTGACGGAAATATTTGCTTTATGACCTTAATATTACTGCACATTGTCCATTCAAATAAAGACTAAACTCAACTCAGCATTCCTAATTAATCAAAGCTGCTTCCACAGTGACATTTCTCAGACAGTGGGCACTAACTTCCGCTCAGAAAATAGTATTTATGTTTTACTGGACACCACGTGAAAGCAGCATTATAATATGTACATGTCTCCAGTTAACATTTCCAGATCACTCATTACCCTATAATTACTCAGCTCTGCTCCAGTCGTAAACTGTGGACAGAGGGCAGTCACTGTCGTGTGTAAAGATATTGTGTCTCTCACAGTGCGTCTGAGGGTGAGTCCTGACAGGCTCCAGTTCGTCAGATGGGACTCAGTGTCTCTGATCTGCACTCCTCCTGAGGCCTCTGGACGCTGGGTTGTGGTCAGAAAATACCAGCACAAACACCCGGGGGCGCTGTGAGGATGACTGGGGCAGACTTAAGGACTCTGTGTGTACAGTTGGGGCACTTGTTCCAGAGGACAGTGGTCTGTACTGGTGTGAGCGAGGAGCACACATGTCTGAAGCTCTCAGCATTACTGTGTCTGCACAAGGTAACTCCAGACTGAAAACAGCTCAGTACAGCCAACTACAGCTGACTTCAGTCATGGTTTAGTTTTAGTGTTTCAACACTTTTAACAATAGGGGAGGGTGATACAGTTGGAGCCAGATCACCATTCATGTTGACTAGCATATTTAAAAACTGCACCTCACTGTTGCTGTTTGACTCATATGTTTTCTTTCACAGAGTTAAGACCACCCACTGACCCAACCCAATCCCCAATCCCCTTCAGTGAGACTTCACCCCCCTCAGCAGAGACTCCTCCCCCCTCAGAGCGCCCCCTGGCTGTGGCTCTGATTTGCCACCTGCTGGTGCTGTGTCCCTATGTGCTGTCCACTGTTATCATGGTCTCTCTCTGCAGACACATGCAAACAGGTGAGGGGCCTTGTCTGTGAAAAACTCCACTACTGCTGCAGCCAGTTTAGTAATAAAAATGTACATACATGTATCTATATAGATTTTATATTTTACAGTGAAAAAACATTCCTTCACATTATTGATTCACTCCACTCTCGGTGGTGCTACCTGTTTGTCTCCATGGATGGAGAGATGTTTGTGTGGAAATGTTCAACATTGTGGCATTAAAATAATTTTGTATTTATTCAAATTAATGCAGGTATTTTTATTTCTTAGAGCCACATTTGCTACATGTGTCTCTTCTTGGTTTGTCACCAAAGTGCTTTTTGATTTATTTGCAAATACAGTGTGTGCAGTGGTCTGATTTTTGACACAAACTGCTGCTTTTATAATATTCTTTAAGGAGAATAGGTTTGATTTATTGATTGGGGACGAGTATGTACTTTAAACAGTACAGTATTATAGCAGCCTTGAGTATTCCATTAGTATTTTCACCATCTCATAATTGTAAAGTTACTCTTTTTGGTCTCTGCAGAGGAGGCCCCTCCCCCTGTGACACGGGATTATGACATCACAGCGATTGCCACTGAGCATGACTTTTGATGCAGCAGCCTCCTGTGCACCTCTGATTCTTTGTTTATTTTATGTTGGGCACAAAGCAGAATGACCTGTTGATCTGGTTTTGGTTTGTGAGTTGGAGGCGATGCTCCTTCTGTTTGCTCTGCACAGAGTCACTATAAAATCATTTGAATATTGTCAAACACAGCGGTCCTTTCCCCAGTCCTGGTCCTGGTCCTGGTTTAGTTTTGGTCTTTTCAATAATGGTTATCCTGCTTCTTCTGAGCATGTTTGAAGTCCTAATCTGTCATTTAAATTCAGCATTCAGATGATCTAATTGTTAAAGTGCACTGTGTAACATTTCTGAGACTGTCAGCCATCTGTTTGTCCCTATGGAGATATTATTGCTTTGCCTGGAATGTTCCACAGTGTGGCATAATCACCATGTAAGCAAGTAGAGTATGGCACAAGGCCCAGTACAGTTAGATCTGTGGAGAAATCAAAACGACCACAGTGACAAAAGACATAATTTTAATGCCATACTCTCGAACATTTCATATTTCATCATTTACTTGGAGACAATCAGATGATGCGCCAACACACCACAAAAGTTACATGAGGTTTCTTTAAGTCATAACGGTCATATAATTCCAGCTATGTGTGTGCCTTTTTCACTGTAATGACATTTTGGCAGATTTGAACCTGCCCCAGTTTCACTGTTGGCCTCAGTCCAAACTCATGCCTCATTCTTAAGACCAGGTCTTAGTATACAAGCACATTTCACAACTTTCATGGACCAAGTGAGAGTAAGCATTCCAATCTGACTTCCTGTTTGTGAATGAAATAAAAACAGTTTTAAATTTGATGCAGCCAGCACACAGCTGTCAGATACTGTCACTAGGAATTACCATAACAAATGTATGAGGACGCGAATTTAACTACCTAGAACAAAGATTGGATAGAGCCTCTTTAGGTTTCTGATTTAGTCCTGGTTTAGTTCTGATTTATTACTGGTTTGTTCTTGGTTTAGTCCTGGTTTAGTCCTGGTTTAATTCCTGTCTTACCTGGAGGAGAGTCGACATGAGCTGGTAAAGTCCAATACAAAAACACGAGCCAAAACATGCACGCTGTAGCCATGTTCAAACTAAACTAAAGCCGGCTACAGGAAGAACATCCTCAGACAATACCCCCACAATTCCAACCAATCACAGCCAAGAGGGGCGGGGCTTTTACATTTGCTCTGTGTCTGATTCCTTCCTCTGTGCTTGAGCAAAAAATATCTTGCCCCAGTACAGACATATATGTACTGGGACAAATATGCAGAGTATGAGGTCAAAATAAGTCTGTTGTGTTCTGTCTGCATCTAATTACAAAGCATTTTATTGACCGATAATCAGGAAGTGCGCGTTTGGAGACTAGGTGTTTTGCCATCTTTACAGCAGCTCTCTGCTCTTCGTTTCTGAAAGTTGTGAAAAGTGCTTTTAAATTCATTGTGGTGAGTAATTAGTATGCTCAGAATGCAAGTAAATGCTCATTTTTAAAACAGCTTAAAACCGTATAAATCAGGTACAACACCTTCATGTTAAAGCTGCACTGTGAAACTTTTCTGGTGGAAGGTATCTGCTTCTCTCCATGGAGGTGCTGCCTGGAATGTTCCGCGGTATGGCATTACATTTGTTTATCTATATGAAGACAGCAGGTGGTATCATAAGGGCCAAGTTACATGTCAGGTCTGTGGAGAGGCGAGCCCATTCACAGTAAGAATGCAAGTTTTTAGGTCAATAACAGCTCATGTTATTGAGTAAATGTGCGATGGATAAGTTTAATGCCACAGCAGGACATCCAGGACAAAAGAATAACACATCTATGGAGACCAGCAGATGGTGGACTCTCCTCCATAAAAGTTACACAGTGCACCTTTAATACATCTTAATATGTTAATTTTTAAACCTTTATTTAGATTCTAATACTGAAAATGTGCACTTTTGGTCATTTTTACATATCTAGATAACACCAAGATCATATTTTATACAGTGATGTACGCAGAAAAATCATTGTATTTATTTTCACCTGCAATGTTTCAAAATGCTACAGTTTATTTTCTTTGTGGTTTAAATAAATAAATAATAATGATAATAAAATACATTGTGAAATATTTCATACAAAGTTAGTTCACTGTAACACAAATTCAGTCCAGTTACTAAACTGAAATTGTGTTCAGTTCAGTAACTGGACTGTTCCCTACTTGAACATATAGTAGTTTTCAGACACTTTTACTTCACTTAAGTAATATATTTTACAGTGTAACAGCACTCTTATTGAGTAAACATTTTGGTTTTGTGACTAAGTCTACAAGAGACAAAAGCTTCATGTTGACAATATGAAATCATGAAATCGTGTTAACATTGTGTAACTTTTCTGGTGGAGGGTTTGTCAAATGCTATTCTCCATGCAGATTGCTTATTGATTATTGCTTTGTCTGGAATGATTCACAGTATGGCATTAAACCTCATGGAGGTCAAACCAGGCGAAGTTACAGGTCAGATCTGTGGAGAGGTGACCCCGCTCACAGACAGAATGCCTGTTTTTTTTTTTGAGCTATAAAACCACCTGTAATTGAATAAATGTAAATTAGTGCTGTTTAATGTCATACTGTGGAATATTCCAGGCAGAACAATGATGTATCCATAGAAACAAGCAGGTGACAGACCTCCTACCAAAAAGTTACACATTGCACCTTTAAATGTGATATATAACATAAATATTTCTTTGGAAATACCATAGTGTGTTCTTTATTTAATATTTGACCTGCATGATTTCAAATAGAGATAGACCGATATATTGCTTGGCCGATATACCATGCCGATATTTGGACTTTTTAAGTGTAAATCTCCAGCACAGACCGATATTTTGTTTTGGGCGATCTGCTGCCTAAAAATGCACACAAACCTTTGTATTAACACTTTAATACGAAGAGATAGATACATAGCTCTCTTATAGGTTTGTGGTTAAAAAAAAAAAAAAGTGCTTCAGCAATTGCCCAAATGAAAAAATACAATGTAAAAAAATTCAATAAATAACAACATACTGTGCAAGTAACAGGGTATTTAAACAATAGAACATAATTTTGAGCATTAAATCATAGTTTTTTGTTTTATATTCCTGTGTGGCCTTATATCTCTGTACTCCCTCAGTTCTGCAGGTATGTTCCATAGTGGTCCATGGGCGTATACTAGTCTATGTGCTCTTATAATTGTTCTGATTCAGCTCAAGATCATTCTAAAGCTATTCAGGACAGGTTCATTTCTGTCTTCTGAGTGTGACTTATGAGCTGGACTGGTCAGACTTATGTAAAATAATGCAAATAATAAGAGACACTGAATGAACTCCGATCATGAGATATTGACATCTGCATAGTCGCTTGTTTCCTCAGCATCTGCAAAAAAAGGAAACATGTTTTAATACATTTAAAGGTCCTATATTAAGAAAAACTGACTCTTGTGAACTTACAGTATAGCCGTATTATAATGTTACCTCATCAAAACATACCTGAAGTTTTGTTTGTTTCATTCACACAGTTTGAGTAATCCTATTATTAGTCTGTTGACATCTCTCAGCTCAAAATACTCTGTTCCACCTTGTGATGTCATGAAGCAGGAGTTTTCAAGTTAACAAGTACCTTTTACCTTTAGTTTAGTAGAGATTTGCAATTCCAGGGCTGAAATCATCCAAATGATATTTGGTGAAGGTGTATGGAATTGAAAAACACAGTGGAGTGCTTCCAGTATTGCCACATGACATCACAAGGTGGAACAGAGTGTTTTCTGTATAACAGAAGAACTCAGCCTAAATATGCAGGATTTGTGTATGAATGAAACAAAACACAACTCCAGGTATGTTTGTAATGAGAAAACAACATTATAAATAGATGAGAAAATAGTGTAATACAGATCCTTTAAAGTTGACTGCATACTAATCCATACTGTACCTTTGCTGTTTGAGCCTCTGATAGGTTCATAGACATTAACATCACCTGCAGATAATGTTTAAAAAGTTAAATTATTACAACAGTTGTATAAAGTTGAATTTGAATTGTTTGTTTAGTTGAACTGACTGTGAAGAAGAGATGAATACAACTGCTGCTGATTGTCGGCAGGTGAATCCTCCGGGTCATTTTCAGCGTCACTTAAAC